TCATCATCATCGTTATCACCATCATCGTCATCGTCATCGTCATCACCATTATCATCAAATCTGCCGACCCTGTCGGCATGTGACAGGGGCTATTCCGTCGCCATCGCCGTCGCTGCCGCCGTCGCGTCGCCGCTGCCATCACGTCCTCTCCTTCCCCTGGGTCCGTCGCCGCTCCCCCCCTTTCCTTGGGCCCTCGTCCCCAAGCACGCCAGCCAACGCGAAATACACCAGCCCATTCACAGCGAAATGAAGCAACTTTGTCATTGAGTCGAAGGGAGACCCCTTCCCTTTGATCTCTTCTCCGCGGAGGGGAGGGGAGGGGAGGGTCCAGGAGGGTGGTCCCAGGGGGTGTCCCGGGGACAACAGGGGTGGTCCTGGGGGATGGTCCTGGGGGTGGTCCCGAGGGGTGGTCCCAGGTCAGAATGCCACCCTTCCGTCCCGCCCTCGCCCTCCCATTTCCGTCGAGGTCCGAGGCCTCCAGGGTCGGCGGCACTTGCCGTAAGGCCTTCGCAATGATACCGTCGTCAGCAGCACCATTATCCTCCTCGTCGTCCTCCTCCTGCTCATCATCATCATCATCATCATCATCATCATCATCATCATCATCATCATCATCATCATCATCATCATCATCATCATCATCATCATCATCATCATCACCAGCATCATCCTCCTCCTCATCACCATCATCATAATCAGCATCATCAGCATCGGCATCGGTATCAACATGATGACGATCGCCATGATCATCATCAGCAGCAACATCTTCACCATAATATGCATCTCCATCAGCAGTATCACCATCATCATCAACAGCATGAGCATCAGCATCACGTCATCATTTCATCATGTTATCTATTGTGCACCATCATCATCATAACCATCACTGATCATCATAATCCCTACTATCATGATCATCATCGCTTCATTACTTCATCATCATCATCATCGTCATCACCATCATCATTCTTAAATTCCACCGTCATCAGTAGCAACGTGTTCCGCATCATCACCATCATCAGCGTCGGCATCAGCTTGATGATGATCGCCATCATCATCAGTATCACCATCACACACATCAGCATCATCATCAGCCTCAGCATCACCTTCTCCTGTACCATCAGCATCATCATCAGCACCATCATCAGCACCATCATCAGGAGCAGCATTTTCATCTGCATATTCATCCTGACCATCACCATCATCAAATACCATCGTCATCAGCGGCACCAGCATGACCAGCATCATCAGCATCATCATCATAATCTGCATCGCAATCAATATCGTCATCATCGTGATCAGCATCACCATCATCAGCATCGGCATCAGCATGATGATGATCGGCATCTTCATCATCATAATCATCAGCAGCCTCATACTTAGCTTCAGCATCAGCATAATCATCGTTATCAGCATCCTCATCAGCATCATCGTCATCTTCATCTTCATATTCAGCATGACAATTACCATCATCAAACACCATCGTCATCAACACCACCATCATGACCATTCTCATCATCAGCAGCAATTACATGAACGACAACAACAACATCAGTATGGTCAGCAGCACCGTCATCAGCATGCTCATCAGCATAACCAACACCAATATCACCATGGCCAACATCATAAGCATGATGCGTAGCACCGTAAGCATCATGATATTCAGCAGCATCGTCATCATCCTCAGCATCAGCATCCCACTCATCGTCGAAGCAGCATCAGCATCAGCATCAGCACCATCTTTCAATCATTAGCATCATCAGCAGCATCAGCACCATCATCACCATCAAACCATCATCATCATCATCAACAGCATCAGCATCGTCATCCTCATACTCATCGTCATCATCAGCATCATCAGCATCAGCATCAGCATCTGCATCACCATCGGCATGGTCAGCATCATCATCAGCATCAGCATCCGCAGCATCATCAGCATCAGCATCATCATGAACAGCTTCATCGTCAGCAACAGCATCATCACCCCTCGGCCTCAGCAGAATCCTCCTCACGTCGCTCCCCCTAAGCATTGCCATCCTTCTCCTCGCCCTCGTCATCCTGATTATCAGCATCATCACCCGAATAATCCCCAGCAGCATCACAGACATGAGCGTTCACTGCAACCGCCGTCTAAACTTACGATCAGCCTCATCAGTTGTCGTCGTCAAACCATCCACGCATACACCATCGTCATCGCATTCGCCGAAAAGGACATACACAGCCCTCATCATCATCAGCAACATCAACAACAACCTCACCATCAACACCATCAACTTCCAACAACCTTATTGTATATCTAAATATCGTCTCATGCATCCACATGCTCCTGCTCCATGTCCTCTTGTATGCCCCCCATCCGGCTCGTCGGCAACATGATCATCATCAGCAGCAGCAGCAGCATCATCATCATCATCAGCAGCATCATCACTACCCTATGTAGCATGGTCCTTCTCCGCTTCACGCGTCGCTTCCTAGTCAACATCATTTGATGCTGCTCATCTTCAACCGTTTCATCCGTCTCTTACTCCCCTCGTCCTCCACATGATCTCCCTGCGCACCTCTCCTAACTCCATCCCAGCCCCCCTTCAAGAATGGATGTGAGGCAGTATCACACACGTCGAAAGGTGTCTGTAGAGAGCATCGTGGTAGTAGTCTCAAGACTCAAGGCCTGATCCGCAGAACCTTACAAGGCGACAGCGGGTCATCGCTCTTAAACCATCAAACACCAGGCACAATACTCGTGAGGGACATGCCTAACACAAAGTCCACAGTTGCAAGCAGTGGTCCTGCTTAGCAGCAGCAGAGCGACTATCACGTAGTCGCAAAAGCGAAAACGCTCGGGGTCGGCCAGCACGGCATCCTGGGACAAGCGCCGTCTTCGATCATCCTTCCCCGACAAGCCCCTGCTTCCTTTTCCTCATTCTCTTCCTCATCCTCCTGACCCTTCTTATACCACTCATGCCAAGCATCTGTCTGAATTGGCCTGTCTTCCACCAACAGCTCATAGCTAAGTTACCCACACACACACACACCAAAAACACTGGAGACAAGGATCGGTGTCTGAGCTTATTCACACATCAAAACCCTTTCAACATGCAAGCCGATACACTATAGTATTGGCAGTGGCGTCTTGCATCACACACACACAATGCCGAACGCGCTTGCTGACCATTCGAGATCGTCACGTATCAGAACAAGTTGTTTGCACATGTGGACAATGTCGCTACCCACACGGCTGCAATCAAGCTTTGGGACTGCTGGCTGCTGGGGGTGGCCCGCAGGCCCTGGGCGGGAAAGCTCCCAGCCGTGGATCAATCAGTGGAAGCTCTCATACTCCGGCGGGGGGGGGGTTCAGATCGCCCAGTGAAGCTCCCATCTCCCTCTGTCGGTCCCCTGCGAAGCAGAGCAGCAGCAATAACCCCACAATTGAACGCAGATCTGACTGTCCAGCTGGATTTCCGCCCAGGAAATCTCGGATGGAACACCATTCTCGAATCTCCTTATCCTGATCATGATCACCACCCTCCTTTCCTGCTCCTCATCCTCTTCCACCTCATCGGCCCCGGCTCCACTCTGAATGTTCCCCAGGAATCCGACCCATTCGGCCATAACTTCTCCTCCCCCCCATCGGTCTGCCCATCCTCCGTCACCCTCCTCAAACGACGCCGTTGTCTGTTCACAACGCGACCCACGGAGAACTGAGAACTAGACCCCGCCCCTGGAACCTTCCAGCCCGAATCGTTTTACGCACGGCCCTGGGACCCCGCGAGGGCCCCCGGAGGCCGCAAACGGCAAAAGACTTCCCGTCGTGACTTTCCACAGCAGAGGGAGGTGGGCCCTCCTCCTCCTCTTCCTCCTCCCCCTCCCCCTCCCCCTCCTCCTTCTCCTCCGCATCATCCTCATCCTCATCCTCATCCTCACATCAAACTCCTCCCTCCTTCTCCTTCTCCTCCTTCCTCCTCCTCACAACTCGCCTCCTCCCTCCTTCTCCTCCTACTCTTCCTCCTCCTCCTCCTTCCTCCTTCCTCCTCGCCCTCCTCCTCGACTCGGAGGAGGCGGGTGCGGGGTCCCAGATGCGCGCGGTGTCGGCAAGCGAAAACCCGCCCTTGGTGCACAGCGCCGCGCCCAGGCGCGTGGCGGGGAAGGCGGCGAGGCCGTGTGCCTCCGTTGGCAGGCAGGAGGGAGGGGAGAGGTGGGACCCCTCCCCCTCTCCACCACTTCTCCAGCCTCCTCATGTCCCTCTTGATCCTCTTGATCCTCCTCCTCTGGCATCCTCCTCCACCTCCTCCGCCTCCTCCTCCTCACCCTCCTCCTCCGCCGCCTCCTCCTCACCCTTTTCCTCACCCTCCTTCTCCCACTCCCCCTTCTCCTCCTCCTCCTCCTCCTCCTCCTCCTCCTCCTCCTCCTCCTCCTTCTCCCTCCTACACTTCCTCTTCCTCCTCTTCCTCCACCTACTCATCCTCCTCCCCCACCTCCTCCTCCTCCCCCTCCTACCTCCTCCCTCCTCCCTCCTCCTTCCACCCTCCTCCCTCCTCCTCCTTCTTCTGTTCCTCTTCTCTGTCGTCGTCTTCTTCATACTATTAGTATCCGCCGTCGTGTGAAAGATGCGTCTTCTTTCTAGTGTTAGCATGATTAATGCACTGCGTAGTCGAGTTTTCGTGTTACTGTGGTATTGGTATAATAATTATTCTTCATCGTCATATTATCAGTACTTGAAATACTAGTATTAATAATAATATCGGCATTCGTAGTATTATGATTATCGCTCGTATCAATAGTTTTTATTGCTATCATTACATAGTACTATGAGTATCCATTTTTTCCGTACTGGTAGAGATGTGTCTCAGTATCACTATTGTGGCCGTCTCACCTGTATGATTAATAATACGCATGGTGTGCGTATTCGTACTCGTATGCGTCGTATACTAAAGCTTAGCCTCAGGATTATCATCCGTGACATTGGTACTGCTCATAATATTGGCCTTCGTACTAGCACGTAGTTTCAATAGTATTCGTAGTAGTATTCGTAGTGGCCGTATTATTACCGAGTTTCTTAGTATTGTTTTGTTTAATTATCTGTATTATGAGTATTAGTCTTCCTCCTCCTCCTCCTCCTCCTCCTCCTCCTCCTCCTCCTCCTCCTCCTCCTCTCTGTTTCCATCCTCATTCCCCTCATCTCCATCCTCCTCCACCTCCTCCTCCTCATCCTCCCTCCTCGTCCTTCTCCTCCTCCTCCGCCTCCTCCTCCTCCGTCTTTTCTTCCTCCTGTTCCTGCGAGATTGACGTGCTCTTCGACTGCCTGGCTGAGATGGGGGTCCAAGCGGACCGCGAAGTCCCCAAGGGGGCTACGGAGGAGCACATCGCCGAGATCAAGGCGCTCCACGCTGACTTTGTCCGCCCGCAGGCCGAGTGCGGAGGCGGCCAGACGCAGGAGCTGGAGGGCGAGGTATTCGTCAAGGGTCAACCCGGCCGTGGAGTTCGGCAACGAGCCCGAAAAAGGCGAGATTGACGTGCTCGTGGAGTGCCTGACCGAGATGGGAGTGCAGGCCGACCGAGAAGTCCTCGAGTGGGCTTCGGCGGAGCAGTGCGAGATCAAGACGCTCCACGCCGACTTCGGTCGTCCTGAGGCTGATGGTACGGAGCCTGGCCATTCCGAGCCCGCTCAGGCGTCCACCAGCAAGTCGGCGCGCAGGCGAGCGAGAAAGGAGCAGGCTCAACGGCAGGCGCAGGTTGCCGAGCAGGATTGGACTCAGCACGGCATCGCGCGGACCGACGGGCGGGAGCAGGCCCGGAGCTCGCACGTGGACCCCCAGCGTGGCTCCCTCGCGCAGCTTCGCGGGGAGCGGTGCGCGAGCCGCACGGGCGCAGCGGCGGCGACGCGGCCGAGCAAGCGCGGCCGCGGAACGGCCGCGGCGTGGGACGATCGGCGGCTGCTGGCGCTGTGACGCTCGGGGGTCGGCCCTCCGCGGCCTGCGGGGGGGCTCGTGCTCCCCCCTGCGTGGCGCGAGGGTGAGCCCCCAAGTGGCGCCCGCACCAGCGATCGGCGGCCGCGCGGCCGAGGACCCGCTCTTCCTCTCGTTCTCATTTCTCTCTCCCTCAGTGGCGTGCGATCCTCCTCCTGCTGCTCCTCCTCCTCCTCCTCCACCTCCTCCTCCTCCGTTCCTTTTCCTTTAGGATGTACTGCCGCACCCAGAGGCCAGTCGGAAGGGCGAACCCGTCAATTCGCCCGGGATGTATGATCCCGAAGGCGTTAATTTGACAACTAATGTTTTACACATTGAGGGCGAGGCGGTTTCAAAATGTGGCGCTCGCATTACCGCCGCGTGCACTCGTCTTAACCATGTTCAAGGGTTACGTTGATCCTGGGTGGGTCGTTTTCAAAAAAGTGGCTCTCGCTTTCGCGCCGCACACATGTATCTTACAAATTTGCGAGAGCTTCACATATTGAGGGAGGTTCCTTTTCAAAATGTGGGTGTCGCAGTAGCGCCGCTCACGGAACGAGGGCGTGCCTCTTTCAAAAGATGGCTCTCGCCTAGGTGCCGCGCACGTTCGTTCTAAACAACAAGACTTTCACGGAAAGGGCCGATCATTTTCAAAATGTTGCTCTCGGCGCAGCGCCGCTGGACACATAATGGGCGTAAACGTGCAATCGGTTCCCATGGTCAACATGCCAGAGGTCCCATGTTGGAAGGATTCTGGACTGTCAGGGAGCAGGCAGTACGTTGATTCGCGGTGCTGAAGCCCCAGGAACGGCGTTCTGGCACGATTCGGGGCCATCAAAACGCAACAATCAGGTTGATTCGTGGCGTTGGAGCCCCGAGAATGGTGTTTTGTCACGCTTCGGGATCTTCAAACGGTTGTCTCCCTGTGGGGCAATTCACCGAGTGGAAATGAATCCTTGCAAGGGCCTATGATGAGGAAGCTTGAAGGGACGGTAGATTCAAACATCGTTGATGAGTCTTGAGTTTGCACTGGTCCTCCTCCTCCTCCTTCGCCTCCCCCTGCCCTTCCTCATCCACCCTCATCATCCCCCATCCTCCTCCTCCTCCCCCTCCTACTCCTTATCTTCATCCCCATCCTCCTGTTCATTCTCCCCTTCTCCTCCCCCTCCTCCTCCCCCTCGGTCGGTCGGTCGGTGCAGGCTGTCTGGTACCCCGCAGCCTGGCCCAGCAAGAAAGAAGACGTACACTTAGGGGCCAGGGGGAAAGTAGGGGCAATTCATCGGGAGACGCTCATCTTGGGCGGCCGCCATCAAGCGAGGGGCCCATGTCCCTGAGTGACCTCTGTGTGCCCTCTGTGTCCTAGAAAGAGCGTATGTCCAGGGACTCAACCCAAACCTGCGACTCCACAGAAGCGCGCCAACTATGAAATTCTGAAACAAACCAGACCCCAAGGACAGACTGGGCTCCGCAGCTTAAACCGCGTTTGAGTACGACTCCTGTTCCTCCTCGTATTCCTCCACGTATTCCTGCTCCTCCTCCTCCTCCCGCTGCTCCTCCTCCTCCTCCTCCTCCTCCTCCTCCTCCCGCTCCTCCTCCTCCTCCTCCTCCTCCTCCTCCTCCTCCTCCTCCCGCTCCTCCTCCTCCTCCTTATGACGCTGGTCCTCCTCCTCCTCCTCCTCCTGATCCTTCTCCCCATCGTCATCCACCTTTTCCCGATGCAAACTCGCTGCAGGCCTGGACGGTCTTGGTGAATCTTACAAGCCGGTCACAATTTCACGCCGAATTGCCACGCCGAATTACACGGTCTTTCCATGCGCAAGCATCAAGATTGGTCGATCCCGCGAAGATTTAGTATGGCATCCTTCTGCAAGGCGTTTCATGCCAAATTCCTTCAGTAGTGTAAGTGGGCAGTGCGTCATCTCGTTTTGTAAAGGCCTGTCGGGGAATTGTGCATTCGTTTGGTTGAGCATGTCCTGTTTCCCGGGTTTGTTGTTAATCCATGTATGAAACAATAGACATGATATGTGTGGCGTGGGCCCTCGTGCAAACAATATCGGCGAAATCCCGTATAGCAGGAAGGTGTCAACGAATCGTGTTGGAAAATTGCATTGGTGCTCTGCCGTTTGTCAACAAAGATGAATGTTGAATTCATGGGGTGTACATGTTAAAAAATATCGTATAGTTGTTGAATCAAATAGATGGTTGGATTCAGATGTGACCGTTGTTTGTTTCTTTCCTGGGTAACGGTGTGGGGGGGGGGGTCGGGCGGCAGGGTAACCGTAACGGCGGCAGCGGCGTGCACCGCCAGGGTGCGTCCCTGCCACCGGCGCATCAACCTGTGTGCACAACAGCATGTAGGGGGGGGGGACCCGGGCCACCCCTCCAGTACGATCGTTAGCGTTAGTTACTCGGGTGTGAGGGGGAGGGGGGTTTGGCCTGGGTACTGTAACTAGCGTTACCCTGGGGAGGATCAACAAACACGATCACCATAGAGTTGATGCTGTGGGAACTTGTAAAGGTGTCTTGTTGTATGGATGGATTCCTTGTCCATCTTTGCACCGGCAATTTGGGATCCTTGATGGCTGCATGGTTGCCTTATTGTGGGGCATTGGGAAGGATTAGGCGGAATGAGGTGGAAGAGGCGGAGGGAGACGAGGAAGAGAAAGGAGGGAGAGGAGGAGACAGAGAACCATAGTAGGGAGTCGCGAACTGCCAAGCAGTGGGACAAAGGAGCGTCCTAGAAGAAATCGGGCGCTGAACAAGAGTTCCCCTTCTTTACCCTGGGGCGGCCCGTTGAGGATGAGGAGGAGGAGGAGAAGCAGCATCAGCAGAAGACGAACGAGTTAGAGAAACAACACGGCGGAGGAGGGAGGAACTCATGAACGGCGAACATATCCAAATCCACGCCTTCGCGGTCTATATTCTGGAGGGTGCGATCCCATAAATACGCTGTCACGTGGACACATTCCGCGTTGGGTATCCGGGAAGAGCGCGGCCCAAGGGCCTGGCCCGCGAGGCCTTGGAAACATATTATGCGACCTGGCGTTGCAAAACAAATTGCGCATCGCAAAAAATAACAACCCAACCAAAAAACACGACCGGATCACCAGACCGAATGTTTGTAGTTGTTCGGGCCCGATCGATGTGTGAGGGTCCCTGGGCCCGAAACTGGGCGAAAACGCCCGTTGTGCAAAAATTGCAGCGCCAGCATCTCAGGGGACACGTCTCCCTCCCAGGAGGAAGGAGTAGAACCCTGCGCCCCTCCTGGAGGCCTCTTGGAGGGGGTCAGAGCAAATGGGGTCGGAAGATTGCGCCGCATCGCCGATGCATCGCCGATGCATCGCCGATGCATCGCCGATGCATCGCCGACGTCGGCAGAGCATCGGCCGGCGACGCTGGCCTGGAGAGAACCAGGCCACACATCGAGCCGCATCGCCGACGCCTCGGCGATGCGGCGCCTCCCGCCCTCCTCCATTTGCTCTGACTACCTACCAGACCACCCCAACCCAACCCGAAGACCCGAATTTGACCCGAGTTTCGGGTTGGGGGGGGTACGGATACCATGCGTTTTTTCAACGTTCCCCGACCCCCCCCCACTGGAAATCGAGGATAAATTTGGGCCTTCGGGTTGGGTTGGGGTGGTTTGGTGGGTGGTGATGCTCCGCCCCCATCCAGGAACCCCAGCACGTGTCTCCCGCCCAGGCGGAAGGAGGAATGGGACCCTGCCCCCCTCCGCCCCCCCGCGCGTGGAGCAGCTCTGCCAGCTGCGGGTCGTACACCGAGAGGAGGGAGTGCACCCGCCCGGCCTCTGCAGGGGGCGCTTGCTGGGGCTACCAGGGTGGTGCGCCTCCCGCGGGCTTCACCCGGTCGGCGGGACGAAAGAGAAGCGGGGGGGGGGGGGCGAGGGAAAAGGAAGGGAAAGGGGGAGGGGGGAGGCGGGCGAGGGGACGAGGGGGGAAAGGAAAAGGGGGGAAAAAGGGTAGAGGAAGGGGGGGAGGGAAGAGGGGTGAAAGGGGGAAGATGGGCGAGGGGGGGGGGGCGCGAGGGGGGAAGAGACCGCGGAAGAGGTGATACTTAAGCAGACCCTCCTGGGCACCGTGGTGTCGCCCCCGCGTCCCCCGGGCAGGGACGGGCCCCCCCCTTCCAGCGGGCGGAGACCCATGAGCACTCCAACATCACCAGGGCACTGCTTCACTGATTCGGCGTCGCGCGGCCCTCGCTGCATCTTCGGGGCGCCCATTGCAAGAGGGAGCAGACGAGGAAGCCATGGGGGGGGGGGCGAAGGGAGGCAGGAGCGCGGACGCGGGCAAGCAGAAGGGAAGGGAACGAATGGATGGACACGTGAAGAACAGAAATGTGAAACAGGCAAGCGAACGGAAGAGCGTGAGCGCAATGGGACAGCCAGAGAGAGAGAGGAGGGCAAGCGGGACATGTGGCTAGACACCTGCGGTTCGAAGACAGAGGCCGGGCTGAAATGCTCATTCCTCAAAAGCAGTGCGTGCCCTTCGGGTTTTTGCTGGGTCGAAGAAAAACTGGGCCTGGGCGTCGGTGTTTCTGGCTTGTTGTCGCCGCCACCACCCGTCGCAGTAGTCCGTCGCCGCTGTTTTTGCGGTTGGGTGTCGGTCGTTGCAGTTGTTGTTACCGTCGCCACCAATCGCAGCTGACAGTCGCCGCCCGTTGCATTGCAAGAGCGTGCGCCACATGTATATATATATATATACCAATCGCAGCTGACAGTCGCTGCCCGCTGCATTGCAAGAGGGTGCGCCACATATATATATATATATACACACACACAAATTTACATATCGACAATCACAAAAATAGCACTCGGATTCACAACTGCCCCCTGGTCGTATCGGCCATCCGTCGGATAGTACAATCAAAAAATAATGATGCCCCAGCGTCCATTCGAAAGTGAACTCCCACCATCCCAGCCCGCCCAGTATCACCCCCCCCAACCACCACCCACCTTCCTCATCCCTAACAACTGATGGTGTGCGCACAACCTTTTTTATCAAAAACTATCGCGCTTGAAATAAAACTGCAACCATGGAAAAAAACACGCGCGCGTCGTCACGAGCGATGCCGCAATCCTTCCAAAATCCGGGGTTTCGTAGACGATGTTCCAAACAAAATACGAAAAGAACACACATACGGTTTAGCAATATGACCATTGACTGCACATCTGTTCATCAAAAGCGACCACACGGCCCTCTCGCGCGCGCGTGTCAAAATCCTTCGAGCGCCCTTGGGTGATAATTGGGGGGCTCGATCAATTGCAAACGACACCTTGCGGGCCACTCGCGCACGTCGGCCACGCGCGCATATCGAAGCCCTTCATCAACGACACGCGCACACCATCACAGTCACCGGCGTGATCTGCATCGCCGCCGTCATTGGCCGTGCCATCGTCATCGCCACCATCGTCACCAGCATCGCTAATATCATCATCGTGTCTGCCATTGCCGGCGTCGCCATGATACCGCGCCTGCCCGAATCACCGACTCGCACTGAGGTGCCCGCACGCCAGGGCACCCTGCGAGACGCGCTGGGAAGTCCCAAGCGGTCAGCACCACCGCAGCCGAGTCGGTCGCGCTAGACTAGCTGGCCGCTTTGCGCGCGAGCCTGCGCGCGCTAGCGCGGCCGCAGCGATGCGCCACCCAGCGCCAAGCAGTCATCGCAAACGTCGCCGCAGGGCTTTCGCAGTTGCGGGTGTGTGGGCGGGATGCTTGCGAGAGAAATTGAGTTGACAGCTCCAAGTTCGGCAGGGCGAATTGCACCACAACGGTGGCACCACGAAGATTGCACCACATAGCTTGCACCACATAGATTGCACCACATAGCTTACATCACATACATTGCTTGAAGTATACACCACTTGGCGCACATCACCTATAATGCACCACTGAATTCTCCTTTCTAAAAAGACAATGAACTTCTGTTCGCAGTGATTTGTCCACTCCACTGCGCGCGCAAACATCCCACCCACCCACCCGCAACTTGGTTTGCAAAATCTCTTTAGACCGTGACGGTGGGTACCAAATGGCACTTCGCAACGACAGCGACGCCGACGACGACAGCGACAACGACGACGACGACGCCGCCGACAACGACTACGACGACACCGACGACGTCTCCAACGACTTCGACGACGCCGACAACGACGAAGACGACGACGCCGACGACGACGACAACGATGACAACGACGGAGTCGACATAGATTGCTTGACATGTATTGCACCAAATAGCTTTCACCACATATAGTGAACCATGTAACTGGCACCGCACAGATTGCACCACATACAATGCTAGAACATACTGCTTGGGGTCCACGCTGCCTAACATTTCCTTCCCAGACAACACTGCTCAGTTTTACATGAAAGAGTTAACGAACTAAATGCGAAACTCCAGACTACATACGCCAGTAAAGGAACCCACACACACACCACCAACAACAGCAGCAGCAACAACGACGACGACGACGACGACGACGACGACGACGACGACGACGACGACGACGACGACGACGACGACGACGACGACAACAACAACAACAACAACACGACAGCCATGCCGAGACCAGGGCATCATCGGCTCGACCATTTCCCTGGGGCTGGTTTTCCATCCTGGGTAGTTGTTTGACTGTCCTGGCTGTCCTACAACCAGGAGGCGTCCTCTGGAGACCACAAACCACAAAAGCCTGGGAGTCGCGACTCCAGCCTGTGACGCCTGGGCCCCTGGGGTCGGACGAAAGGGGGGGTAACAACGGGCTCACAAAACAGCTCACGTCGCTGCTTTCTCTGGCGCCTCCCAGCGCCGGAGGCGCCCACGTGCCGAGAAAAGACGCCTGGCTACGGGGCCGACACCAGCTGCACGCAGCAGATTTCGTACACCCCCTCCTTTCCCAATCCGCCCCTGAGGGGCGACGTTATGGAGGGACTGGCTCAGGGAGGGGGACATCGACCTGGAATCGGCGATACATCGCCAACAGATCGGCGGCAGGCCCCCGATAGCGAAACCGTACGGTCCCAGGCGGGATGGGCTGGCTGGCCCCCATGATCGGCGATCAGATGGCAATGCAACGATGCATCCCCCTTGAGCCCATACCCCATGACGTTGCCCCCTGGTTTTCGGGTCATAGCGCGGATCCCTGGCGGTCCGCTCGGAGCGATCTGGGCACCTCCGGAACGCCCTCGGCGAGGCGCAGCTGCTGGAAAGCACCCCGAGGCTCGAAAGCCGCCGAGCACCGACGGAAACTTGTTGAAAATCTCGAACTTCGAACTCACCCTTCCCACTGAGCCCATCCCCTCCTAACCCCGTCACTCGACCCGACCCGACACACAGGCCCCCTCCCCGCTCAGCTACCCCCCCCTCTAAGCGGCCTGGAAGAGGATCCGCTGGTCGTCCTCTCCGGGCGGCCGCCGCCCCGCCAAGTGATCCCCGCCCCGCCAAGAATAGACGGCCCGCCAGATAACTTAGGCGACATGATCGCCCCCCGCACCCACCACCTTCTCCTCCTCCTCCTCCTCCTCCTCCTCCTCCTCCTCCTCCTCCACCTCCTCCTCCAACTCCTCCTCCTCCTCCTCCTCCTCCTCCTCCTCCTCCTCCTCCTCCTCCTCCTCCTCCTCCTCCTCCCCCGCCTCCTCATCCTGCTCCTTCTCCTCCGCCACCTGCATGATCCCTCCTCATCCTCCTGCTTTTCCTCCTCCTCCTCCTCCTCCTCGTCCACCCCCCTATCACGATCCCTCACGCCACCTCCTCCTCCTCCTCGTTCTCCTCCTCCTCCTCCTCCTCCAACTCCTTATCATCCTCGTGCCTTTTACTTATCATCGTGCCTCCTCCACTCCTTCCTCATCCACCTCGTCACCGTCCCTATCCGAAGGCCTCGAGTGACCTCGGAGGAACTCAAGGGAACCTGTGGGGACCTCTAGAGACGGCTGGGGGCATCTGGGGGCCTCACCATGTTCCTCCTAGACATCCTTCTACTACTCCTCCTGTTTCCCCTCCTCCTCCCCCTTTACGATTCCAGCTCCCGTCCATCTTTACGACTCCGTTTCCAATTGCGGCGCCCACTTCTCCGACTCCAGCTACGATTCCAGCTCCTTGGTGTCCGACTCCGGCGCCCGTCCCATCTCTCCGACCCCGGCTCCGAGTGCAACTCCCGTGTTTCCGACTCCGGCTCCAACTCCAGCTCCCGCCTGTCCGAATCCAGTTCCCATCCCGCCTCCCCGACCCCGGCTCCGATTCCAGCTCCCGTCGTTTCGACTCTGGCTCACGATCCTGATCATCTATGTTGGCGGAATGGTTGAAGGTATTTTGCAGGTTCCGACTCCAGCTCATATTTCTTTTCCGACTCTTGGTGCCTTCCCATCTCTCCGACTCCGGCTCCGACTCCGACTCTGCATGGGACACGCGCCTTCGTTCAGCAAGAGCAATAAGCGGGTCCCGGCCCACGCACGCTGCCCCCAAGGGGCCTGCTGGCCGACAAGCCGGCGGATTCAGCGCGTTCGTTCGTTCGTTTCCCCTTCGTCATCATCAGCATCATCCTCATCCTCATCCTCATCCTCATCCTCATCCTCATCATCATCATCATCATCATCATCATCATCATCATCATCGTCATCATCATCATCATCATCATCATCATCATCATCATCATCATCATCATCATCAGCAGCAGCAGCAGCAGCAGCAGCAGCCAGCATCGTCATCATTCACCAGCAGCATCATCATCAGCATCATCATCACCACCACCTCACCATCATCGTCATCATGATTATCACCACCACCACCACCACAATCGTCACTACCAAAACCATCACAACCATAATCATCATCAGCATCGCCATCATGATCATCATCATCATCATCATCATCATCATCATCATCATTATCACATCATCATCAGCATCATCATCATACTCATCGTCATCATCGCCAGCATCAACATCATCATCACAATCATTCACGGCATCATTATTATCATCATCACGAGCACCAGCATCAGGGTCAGTAGCAGCATTAGCATCATCATCATCATCAGCATCAGCATCATCATCCTCATCATCATCATCTTTATTGTTAGTATTATTATGTTAGTATTATTGTCATCAGCATCAGCATCAGCATCAGCATCATCAGCATCAGCATCATCATGATCAGCATCAGCATCGCCATCATGATCATCATCATCATCATCATCATCATCATCATCATCATCATCATCATCATCATCATCATCATCAATCGTCATCGTCATCATCAGCATCATCATCATCATCATCATCAGCATCAGCATCAGCATCAGCATCAGCATCAGCATCAGCATCAGCATCAGCATCAGCATCAGCATCAGCATCATCATCATCATCATCATCATCATCATCATCATCATCATCATCATCATCATCATCATCATCATCATCATCATCATCATCATGGAGCCCACATGGGCCACGCTGGGGCTATCTGGGCTGTCTTGGAGGGGCTTGTCGAAGTCCCCCGGGGACTTCCGAGAGCGCCTCGGAACTCTCTGGGGCAGTCGGGGGGCCCCAGGGCCGCTCTGGGGTGCTCTGGGAGCGGTCTCGGAGGCCCCAGTCCTCCCATGCGCTGTCGGGGCCCGGCCCCCAGGCCTCTTGGGAGCATCTTGGGGCGGAGAGCTTGGTTTTTCAGTTCGCGGCTCCTCTCTTGGGCCCCTCTTGGGGCCTTCTTGGGGCCCTCTTGCGCCGTCTTGGGCGGCTCTTGGCCGTCTCGGGGCTCTATTGGAGCCTCTTTTAAGCTTCTTTGGGGCCTCTTGGGGCCTCTTGGGGGCCTCTTGGGGCCTTCCTGGGGGCCTGTTGGATACATTTCGGGGCAGAGAGCTTGATTTTTCAAATCGCGTTCCTTCTCCTAGGCCCCTCTTGGGGCCTTCTTGGGACCCTCTTGCGACGTTTTGGACGGCTCTGGGGCCGTTTCGCGGCTCTCTTGGGACGTCTTGGGGCCCTTTTGGGAGCCTCTTGGGACGTCTTGAAGCGGTTTGGGGGGCCTCTTGGGCGGTGCTTTAGCGCCGGAAACACGACACAGCGGGAATGCCCCTCCCAAAATAACATGGACAAGCCAATGACAATCAACGACGTTGCCCTTCCGGGGCGTTTTCGGGCGGCATCTTGAAAGCCTCTTGGGGCGTCTTGGGGGCCTCCGGGGCAGTTTAAAGCGCATCGCGTGTCACCCCCTGGACGGCGTCTCGGGGGCGTCTCGAGACCGTCTGAGGCCACCGGGATTGCTGTCTGAGGGCTCCCCAGGGCGATCTTAAGCCTCGCAGAGGCGGGCCCGGGCCCCGGGACCCACATTAGCGGTCGAGGTTCTGGCCCTCGACCCCCAGGCCCCGTGCGCCGTTATATGTATAAACCAGCCTGTCAAACACAAATCAAACATGCGCGAACTGTTACTGTAGCGTGCTTGGCGTTCGGTTTCCTCATGCATCATATGTTCGTTTGTTCGTTGTGCGTGTCGTTGTTCTTTCGGGGCCTACAACGCTTCGTCTCTACAACCTATCAGAAGCCTGGGGTCGGCAATTGTTTCAACCTTGAACGCCGCGGGCGCCTCGGTCCGGAACGAGAGCCTGGGTTCTGAGATCTGACTTCCGGAGCCTGTTTTCCGACGGACCGATGGGGCCTGCACGGTGCGACGTCGGCACAGCGCAGTCCTTGCTAAAAGCTGACTGTTGGGCGGCGCGCCTGAGTTGAAACACCGATCTGACGTGGTCAGGTTTCTTGTGGTCCTCGCGAAGTTGGCTGATCTCCCGCAGGAATTGTTTCGCGGGATATGTGTAGGTCTGTCGCTGGCAGTATCTTGGGCCATTCCGAGGAACTAGGACGTACCAGAAAACGCGCCCGGTAAAAGGACGCCCACAAAAGTCAGGACAGCAAAACTCGCACCGCTGGGGGGCAAGGGAATCTAAACCTTGCGAAGTAGTTTGCTGGCGCGCCCATGCGGACCCCCCATGATGGGCACACGGTTCATCCTCGCGGTCATCCTCGTCACCTCGAGAATCTGCTCCGAGGATGATCTTCACGATCGGGCCGACGTCTTGCGACAGTTCGACCGTTCGGCGTAGCGGTCGGCGATGTGGTCTAGGTCCCGCTGCGCGGATTACGAATTCGCGCCGATGCCTGAGATAGCGGAAGTAGCCTGAACCAGAACCACTTCAGATCGACGGACGGGCCTCCTCCACTCGCGCGCGATCTGGCAGGACTTCCATCCGCGAGGCGGCGGCGCGCTGCATGTCGCTCAATGTTGAAACTAGCTCGTCGCCGATGGGCGGGCGCTCAGGCGCGGGGCTATCGTCTTCGATCGCGGTCTGCTCTGCCACGGGCAACAGCGGCCCACCCCATTCGGAAGCTTGGCTCTTGGAAAAGTCGAAACTGCTGATCCCTTGAAGGGGGCGTCGTTCAATAGCTCAAATCGGCGAACCATTCGAAGCTGAAGTAGCAGCGGCTAGGTTGTCCAATCGTTGTTCTTGCGGTTGTGGGTGGATTGCGCTTCGAAACCGGCATAACTGGAACTCAGATCGAGCAGGTGGGATTCTCGTTGGGTTGAGTTGGGCAGGTTGAGCGTAAGATCCAAATCTTTGTCCCCTCGGAACTGATTCGGTTCTTGAGGTCGATTGGACCGGTTGAGCTTCAGATCCAAACCAGTTCAGCTAAACTTCTGGGTTGGGCGAATTAAGCGATTGTCGGTGATTGAGATTGAGCTGATTGAGCTGGCGGTGCGTGAGCGGTTGAGTGAGTGAGTGACTGCGTGAGTGACTGGGTGAGCACCTGGGCAATGAGCGATGTTCGACGTGATTCTGCGCGGGGCGCGCAAAGAAAACGAGGGCGTCATGTAGGGCACCCGCGCCAACCAGGACTCCTAGTCTCTGGGGCTCCTGCTCCCTGGGCTAGCGCAGCCTGAAACTATTACTCCCTGGGCTAACCAATACTCCTAGCCCGAGTCTTACTCCTACTCCTACTCCTGTCACCTGAATCCACGCTTGCACAACAGTGGTCACATGTTTGGTCCTTTTGCAGTGGCGCCGAAAATCAAAACGCGCGACCCGATGAAAACTGAATGCGCTGCCACGCAATGCGCACATAACTCGCCCCTATGCGCTACTACGCGCACTTCTCAACCTTCGCCGACCGGAAGAGCTGGAATTTGGATGCTGCCTCACGAGTGCATGCTTGCCCTCGTGTCAGTACACATTTTCGGATGCGCCTCCTCCCAGAGTTGGGAGGGGCACGCCAGAGTTATTGGAAGGTTTGTACGTCGCAAGCATCGCGAACATGTCGTTTGTAACGTCCCCATCAAGAAGCGCACTTGTCGGGCTCTCTGGCTTGCCTGAAGGCTCTGCTGTCGCGGCCTTCATCGGTTTCGCGGCTTTCATTGTTTTCATCGGTTTCTTTGTTTTCATAATCTTGAGCTTTCTCTCGAGTTTCTGCTTGGCCAGCAGGTCCTAGGAATTGCCTGGCGCCGGGGCCCTCGCGGCGTCGGCGAGAGCTAGAAGATCCGAGAGGCCTGCCGAAAGTGGTTTTGGTGCCACCTGAGTCTGTACTCGCAAACGAAATCGCAGCGGTCGAACTGCACATGGCGGGGGCCCCTGTACAGCATTGATTTTGCTGGACCCCGTGTTGCTGAACAGGGTCTTCTCGAGGTCATTCAGGGGCTCTCGAAGTTTTTCGAAGTCGTTGGCTTGCACACGCCAGTGTCAACGTCGTCGTCGATGAAGTCTATCGTGGGCACGAACTTCACGGAACGGGGACTTCCTCGATTGAACTCGAATCGCTCTCGTCGCCCATTGTGTGATCTCTGTCTTTGTCACACGGGCTCTCATGAACATCGCGCTGTGTGGCTGCCAACACACATCCGAAAAAAAATCGAAGCCCTTGGGGGTGTTTGCTCTCGTCTCTGAGTTGGATCCGACGGGAATCTCGCAAATGCACCATCACCGCTCTTATGCGATAAGTTGCCCGCCCGATCGAAATGTCATCCCAACGGCAACTGTTACTGGCAGCATACGATACAATTTGTTTCAAGAACGTTTTGTGTGTCAATTGCCTTACTCCGCTCAACACAAATATATCTGACAATGTTCGCCTGTGTTTGCACACCTCTGACCATCAAACCGTTTTCTTCCAATCATTTGTCGTGCCTTTTGTGTAAGCCCGAAGCCTCCTGACATTAGCTGGCTTGGCAATGGACTTGGACAAACAAAGAAACACATCATCGTTTGAAATCTGTACGCTCTCTGTTTTCGGCATGTGTGGAAGTGCGCGGAGAATCTCGAACCAAAATGGTCGACTGGTGTTGGCAGGTTTCGGGGGCTGACTTTTTCCGCGGGGGACATGCGTCCCCCCCATCCTCTTCGGCACACCCCTCACACGTTTCGTGGCCCCATCGGAAACTCCACCGCAATTTTGATGACCGGGTGACCCAGGGGGACGGAGTTTCAGTGGCGTCGGGCTGTATGGGGGTGATTGTCACAACGTGCTATATGTCACCCTAACGAAATGTTTGCAATTTCAGCCAGCCCGACGAAGCAGCAGACTGAGGAGACACGTTTCGTGGCCGCAGACACTTCAGCACACCCCTCACACGTTTCGTGGCCGCCACCCAGCGATCGAGTCCATCGAAGCGTCACGGCAGCCACCCAGCGAGCGATGGATCCAAGCGTCAAGGCCGCCACTCAGCGATCGAAGCGTCACGGCCGCCACCCAGCGAGCGAGCGATCGAAGCGTCACCACCGCCACCCAACGAGCGAGCGATTGAAACGTCACGGCAGCCACCCAATTCAGTTGACCCGCGCATGGGGGTCATGAGGCTTATCTTCTATATCTCCGCTCGGCATTTCCAGAATACAGTGGCGCTTTGCAACGATAAAACCGATTGGTTTCTAAAAAATGGTATGGTCTGAAATTACAGCTGCCAATGCTCCTTTGGGACTGCGAACTGGAACTGGAACTGTTCTGGCTTCTGTTCTGGCTCCGGTTCCGGTTCCCGATCGGCTCCAAATCCGGCACTGGAACTGGAGCTGGAACTGGAACTGGTTCCGGTTCCGGCTCCTGTTCCGGTTCCGGTTCCGGTTCCGGTTCTGGATTCGGCCCCACGTCCGGCACTGGGACTGGAACTGGCACTGGAAATGGTTCTGGCTCCGGTTCCGGTTCCGGTTCTGGATTCGGCTCCGGGTCCGGCACTGGAACTGGAACTGGAACTGGGACTATATTCCGGTTCCGGTTCCGGTTTCGGTTCTGTTTCGGGTTCCGGTTCCTGTTCCGGGTCCGGTTCTCGATTCGGCTCTGGGGCCGGCTGCAAAACTGAAACTGGAATTGGAATAGGAACTGTTCCGGTTCCCGTTCTGGTTCCGGTTCTGGTTCTGAATCTTGATTCGGCTCCAGGTCTGCCATTGGAACTGGAATTGGAACTGTTCCGGTTCCGGTTCCGGTTTCGGTCCCGGTTCTGGATTCGGCTCCGGGTCCGGCACTGGAACTGTTCTGGTTCCGGTTCCAATTCTGGTTCCGGTTCCGGTTCTGGGTTCGGCTCCGGGTCCGGCACTGGAACTGAAACTGGAACTGGAACTGTTCCGGTTCCGGTTCTCGATTCGGCTCTAGGTCCGGCACTGGAGCTGGAGCTGGAACTGTTCGGGTTCTGGTTATGGTTCAGCCAGGGTGCATAATGGTGTCCCCTCCCCCCCCACACACCCTCCCCACATTGCCTCCGCCCACGCGTCGAAGAGAGAGAGGACGAGTAGTAGCAGCGTCAACCAGATGACGAGGAGCAGGGGATATGAGAAAGCAGAAGACTAGATAGACATGTAAGTAGAGAGGAGGTCGAGGTAGGAACGAAGAGGAAGAACACCAGAGGAAACTCAGAATCCGACAATCATACTGCAAGTGTGCACCCTCCTGCACTCCCCGTAAGTCCCTCCGGCATTCCTTTTCGCAACGAGGAGCAACCCAAACATGGGCCTGTTAATCACACGACAGCTCCGAGTTGCAACAGAACCACCATCCATTATTTGGGCGATTGTACAATGTTGGCAGAAATGCACCATCCATCCGTGCAACGATTTGGGCATGTTGAACTCAGTGCCAGTTCATTCGAGCACGTCTCATGCGAGAAAGCCAAACAAACAACGACAAATGAATGTGCGATGCGACCACGCGACAACGTTGTTTCGAAAACGACCTCGCTTCAATCCGTGCAGCTTTGGGGAATTCTTACCCAATACGAACGTATGCGCGGGGCGGCTGGGCGGTGGGTCCCGCTTAGAACATCATCCAGCCTCTACCCGTACTACTGCTGGAAACTAGTGAGATGAATGTGCGCAGAGTTTGGGCGAAAAACACATTTGATGCCGAACAAGAGCTTGCCCTCCATCCGCGCGAATCCTGCGAACTTTCAAATAACATGCGATGACATGTATGATCATACTGCGAAGGAATATCAAGCAAGATGCACGGCGCCCCGTCTCGACACGTCTGGTGGTGCGACGAAGAGAAGTCCCTCAGAAGGAGTTAAGATGAAGGACGAGGACGCGGAGAACAAACTTTGGGGCCCCAGAACCTCGTGGTGGCCTCGGAATCCACAACGACCTCAACACGCGCTCACCACACGGTTTGGGACCCTGGAGGCCCCAGTAATCCGAGACACCCTCGGAGAGCCACCCGAGTCCCAAAACCGCGCCGTGACCCCGAATCGCCACGGACTCAAAACGGTGTGGTCACCATACCCTTTGGGATCCTCCGACGAACGAGCAGCGGGAAGAGCAGGACTCAGGAGGGGTAAGAAGCACCAGGCGGACGAGGAGGGCGGAGCAAGACGGACATGGGTGAAGGAGGAGGAAGATTAGAAGGACAGGTGGCACAAGGAGAAAGATGAGCGGGGATGAGGCGGAGAAGAAACACGACAGAAGAACAAGAAAAAGCACTGCACAGACACCAACTTCCTTGATCTCATCCCCTGTTATCTTGCCACATTCTGCCTCCAGAAACCCGCGTGGACCTCCGAAACAGAAAGTGAATGTGATTTCCTTCTCTGGCATGCGGTAGGGGGCGGGGCGACAATGAGCATCGCTTATTCGACCCCTATCCCCATGCGCGTGGCCTGGGCCCCTCTGGCCGGTTCCCCTAGATGGGGATGCAGGCCATTTCCCTCGGGTTTCGAGGGGCACATCCCCACCTTGAAGACTGGGATGGAGGTCAACATGGGGATGAGCATGGGGATAGTAGTCGGTTTAACCATACTGAGGCAACCCCGTGGCCGAGGCAATCCTCCAAGACGGACCGCGCCTCCTCCATCACCACGTCCAGGCACCGGGCCGCGTCCCTCTTGGCCTCGGCGAAGTCTCCTGGGTGGGGCGTCCGCCCCGCCCTCCTGCCGCCATTGCGCCTCCTCCTGCTACTCATCATCCTCTCCCTTTGCTTCTCCTCCTGCTCCTCCTGCTGCCGCTGCTGCTCCTCCTCCTCCTCCTTCTCCTCCTCCTCCTCCTCCCTCTCCGCCTCCTCCTCCACCCGTCCTTAATTAGTTACGTCCCTCAATCCTTCCTTTCTTCCTAACTTCCCTTGGTTGCCGTCATCACCACCATCATCGTCACCATCATCAGCGTCATCAGCAGCAACATCAACAGCCTCAGCAACAGCAATATCATCATCATCATCATCATCATCATCACCACCACCACCACCACCATCATCATCATCATCATCATCAGTTTCATCATCATCATCATCATCATCATCATCATCATCATCATCATCATCATCATCATCATCATCATCATCATCATCATCGTTATCATCAGCATCAGCATCAGCATCATCACCATCATCGTCATTATCAACATCAACTAATCATCATCAGTAGCAGCAGCAGCCGCAGCACCAGCATCGGTCAGCATCAGCATCGTCATCATCAACATTGTCATCATCAGCATCATTATCGTTGTCAGAATCATCATCGTCATCACCGTCATCGTCATCGTCATCATCATCCTCATCCTCATCATCATCAACAACATCCTCAACATCAACATCACCATCAACATCACTATTCGCATTATTATGTTTGCGTGCAACTGTTGATGTATATCCCAAACCTTCGATACACGCCCTCGTCGTCTTCGATCGTACCCCTTTGAGGGCATATCTTCCTTACCTGCCACGTGCAGTTGGCGCAGCCTCTCAACACAGGGGAAGGGAGGAGGAAGGACAGAGTCAGGGAAAAGGATGAAGCTGTGGATGCCATGGCAATGGACACTCTAACAATCCTACCATTGAATTAAAGATGTGTTTCAAATGATTAAAACATGTTCTAAAAATGTTTGAAACATGTTTTGTAACACATGTTTCAGACATATGCAAATTATGTGGCAACATGCTTCCTCTCCATTGATCGTCCTCCACGAGGATGGAGCACGAGAGAGAGCTGCAGGATGGGGGGGTAGGCGCAGGAGTGCAAGCGGCACAACCAGGCGGACAGTCGGGCGGGCGGACCCTAGCGGGCGGGTTGGGCGGTGGGGCTCAGGCGGCGGGGTCGAGCGGGCGGGTCGCTGAAGCGTCAGTCCAATTTGAACCGCGAGGAGGCCGCAAGCGATAGCGCGATTCCCAAAATAAATCGTGGCGGGTCCAAAGCGAAGACGTGATTCGAGTGTCGGGGGCGCGGCGTCCCTATGAATTGCTAGGGTGGGCCACGCGAGCGCGATTCCTGGGTGAAGTGTGAGGAGGCCGGCGCGAGAGCGCGATTTTGAATCAGAGGCGTTGTTGTGGTAAACGCGGGACCAAGAACACAGCCAAGGCGCGAGACTTCCCCTTGTCAAGAAGAAACATGTGCGAGCCCGGGAGAAATTGAATTGAGAAAACACAATGGGGTCTGGGCAGGGGGGGCAACAATAGATATTATTCAGAAGCGAGAAAGCAATGTCAACATCACATCAACATCAAAATCGTCATCATCATCGCGTTCATATTCATAATGCACTTCTCCTGCATCATCCTACGATCATCTTCACCGCCATCACAAACAATATCCTCAGCATGTTCGTCTGCATCTGCATCATCATCATCATCATCCTCATCATCATCAAAGTATGCTTCATCATTGCAATCCTGAATCACATCTCCATTGTCATCTGCCAGAATCGTCGTGATCGTAATGCAACTCGTCACCAAAAAAAAGCTACAACACCATCAGCATCACCATCATCATCATCATCGTCACTATCATCGTCGTCTGCATTACAATGCTCAGCATCCGCATCGACAGCATCATCAAAGTCACCATCACCATCAGCATCACCACGATCATCCCCACCATCATCATCATCATCATCATCATCATCAGCAGCGTCATCATCATCATCAGCATCATCATCATCCTCATCATCATCAACACCAGCCTCATTATCATCAGAATCATCATCCTCATCATCATCCGTACCATCATGAGCATCATCTTCAACAACATCGAAAACCCTCATCATCAGCATCATCGTCATACTCAACGTCATCTTCGTCATCATCACCATCAGCATCATCATCACCAGCGTCAGCATAAGCATCAGCATATTCATCCCCACCATCAGCCTAATGATGATGATCATCATCATCAGCAGCAGCATCAGCATCATCAGCATCAGCATCAGCATCAGCAGCGCATGCATCATCACCATCATCACAATCAACACCATCACCACCATCCGTCACCATCAGCATTATCATCATCATCCTCATCATCATCGTCATAACCATCATCAGTGCCGTCCTCGTGCTTTCCTCTCTCTCTCTCTCTCTCTCTCTCTCTCTCTCTCTCCAACCACTCCTGTTTCTTCTCCTCCGACTTTCTCCCTCTCGCCCCTGCTCCTCGTCCTCCAATCCCCCCCGCCCCCCCTGCCCCCCCTCCGCGGGCACTGTGGGTACATAGGGGCGCAGTCACACCGCGTGCAACTACGCCTGGGGCCTGGCCCAGATTACAAACTCGCACAAAACCCCCCAACGCGGACCCGCGGACCTGTTGGATGAGATGAATTCGGCAAGAGGTAGATGGGAGTCTGCCTGCCAGAAAGGCACGCTTTTCCCTGCTCTTGCTGCTAGGCTCACACTTCGACCTCAGCTTCAAAGCTTTATGGGTCCCAAATTCTCCGCGGCGGGAACATAACAAAACTGGGAACCCAGACTCAACCACATACTCCAACTGTAGGGCGCGCCCACAATGGTCAGGCTCCTTGAGAACCTCCAGGAGGGAGGAGTTGAGGCCGACGCATGGGGTCTTCGTGAGCGGTGAGACCGTCTCAGACACACAGAGCACCGCCAACTATCAATGTGCCAGTAAGGGATGCGTGGGGTAGTCGGGGGCCTCGTCACGCGGGGGCCCACAAATCCATTGTCCGACGCACCAAACAGGTCAGCGGGGGGGGGGGGGGGGGCCATAGGGCTAGGACTTCCCCTAGTCCCAAGAACACTTCACGGTATTGTTTAAATGTCTTCGAAACGGTGTCGGGAAACTCTGGGCTGAAGTCGCGCGCACGTGCGCCCTGGCCTGCAAGCCGGTCAGCCGCCTTGTTTCCCAGGACGTCTATTTTTCCTCCTCTGGCATTGCAGAGGTCACTTCCAGGTGGGCCTTCACTTTGCGGAAGGCCACCCACTCTCCGCAGCCAAGGTTCTCAGCTACACTTCGCCGCCAGCGCGGAGTCAGGCGACCCCTGAGCCCTGAGAAGGGCCGCATAATCAACCCCGAGGGCGGTCCTGGGGCCACCGTTATCTTCGCTGTCCAGATGCAGGTGGGCCATCACGACCCCGATCTGCTCGCCTACTCTGCTGCTCTGGCCGAAGAACTTGGGCACGTGCCCGTATATTCCTTTAATTAGGTTCCCCTGAGAACCGATAGAAGCAACCCCCCACCCCGCTCTCGCCAGGTACCCCATGTTTGGTCTCAAGCAAGAACCGCCACTATAAAGTCGGTCCCCAGGGCCGAAGGCAAAGGGTCCAACCTTCTGGCCTTCCCGGTAGAACGTAACATGCCAGTCCTGTGGGGGTGGAGTGGCTTCCAGCCGCACCAACCATCCTCTTGCGAACAATAAATGGTTCTCTCCTGCCTCCAGTGCCTGTTGCGCCGTGGACTCAATAGAAACTTCAGCTCGCTGTTTGCGCCGTGGGGGCACACCCATATCCAATGAAAAACTGTGTCGGGTGCCCCACATCCGAATTTGCAACCAGGAGCTATAGAGCAACCCCAGGACCTCAGCTTAGGATTTGCAATCAGGACCTAGCAGAAACTACTTCCTTAGGTTCCAAATCATGCTTGCACGAGAGCACTTTCGCAGCCGCCTCCCACCAGAGCCCCTGCTCCACGACCAAAACACTGCTTGGGTCCTCCATGGTGTGGCATGCTGCTTTCGCTACTTTCTGCATTCGGGATTCCTTCTACTGCAACTCAAAACGTTTGGCTATGAAAGCAGGGGCCACCTTCAGCACATCCAGGGTCATCCCTTCGAGGTCAAGGAAAGAGGTGGGACCCAGAGCCGCCCAACCAACCCCCCAACACCAGAGGAAGATATCGCTGAGGGGCCCCTTGCTTTCCTTAAACCAATTCTTCGCTGCTGCATGTGGGCTGAAACGGGCCTCTGCGGCCGCCCAGAGCCTTGTCAGCACAGGTGCAAGTAGAACGTCAGCATGCCGTCGCTGAAGGTCAGGTCGTGGTGCACTAGTCATCCACCATTCTGCGCAATATCTGAATATACACACGCTGCACGCGTGGATCGGGCCCTTCGTCCGCGCGAGCGACCAGGCCAAATCTGCGTTTAGTCCTTTCAGCGACATGCACATGGACTTGGAAACTTGCCCTCTTAGACGAAATACTTGTGACGGACTGAATGCATGTGCACCTCCTCCATACAGGATGGCAGGTAAAATATATTCGTGATCGCTGGTCTAAGCGCGTGTCCCTTATTGAGCTTCATGGTGGCTAACTTCTTATTCTTCTTCATGGCGTGCTTTCTCCATCTATGTGCACGTGTGGCATGTGCTTTGTGGTGGGCTCGATGCTTCCCACCAGTGTAATCAATCCCAAGACTTCTGATCCCATATGCGCCTGCCCCCCCCCCCCCCCCCCAGTCCACTGGGCATGTTCCTCGCCAACTCCGTCATCTTCCCCGTGGAAGTGACCATGTTGAGCTTATGTGATGCCAGAGGTGGGTCAAGTTCTTGCTGCAATCGTTGTCCGACTCGGTGTACGTGATCCCTCATTTCTCGAAGAACATTGACCATCGACTCACCCCAGTGATGTTGCGGGAGGTCGTCGATGTGCAAAGACAACATATCCGAGGCATTGTCACGAGCCTCGCATTCATCGTCCATTAGTGGGATCAGAGACACTCTAGCTTCAAAGGTTGCACTTGCTGATCCTGCCACTATTCCTCTGTGCGGGTCCAGTGGGCCCATCAGCAAGCCATCGTAGTGTAAGTATCGTGGCCATGTGTAGCTATGCATGGACATCCTTACTACAGCCGCTGGGGAATTCGTGATGGTGCAATTTGCCGCCAGAAGATCCCAAGGTACATTCTCGTAGACTTGCAACAGTTCCCATAATACTGCAATAAAGTACATGTCCATGTTGTTTGCACCCTCTGATACAACTGCTTGCCTCCACGCCGTATCGTTTGGGCCGCTGTCTTGGGACATGGAGCGCTGGCCCCCTAGTCCTTGGTATTTTCCCATCTGCGTAGCCTGCCTCTCCGAAATCGCCCTGCCATCCTAGTAGGTGCATTATAGAAACCGAGCGGTCGTCGCCCTCCCGCTGGCTTGCGATTTAACTGCACAATTAATCTCTGTACCGAGGAAGGATTTCGACCACGCATCTCCATACGTAGTAGCAACTTCCCAAACACAGCCCTCGCACCCTCGCCAAGTAAGCCGAAGTGCCGAGGGTGCCATCCATCAGGTCGGCATGCGTTTGGCTTGAAACGCTCGCTGGCCCTCTTGGTTTTCTCAGCAGACGGAAGCTCCATAACTGGCACAGGGTGCGCTCCGCAAGTGCGAATATTTCTGGGACCTTCGCAACAACCCCATGCAGTACTCCACTTTCAACGTTCCTCCCTCATTCTATGCTCTAGTGAAAATACGTCGAGTGCTTGTCCTGCCATACCTTTGAACTGGAACTTCTGCGGCGTGGTCTTCCCTTTCAGGTAGCCGTGTGCCCTGCGCGCCCCTGACTCCTCGGCCTGGTCGCACCATTCCTTCCACTTCCGTCTGCGGAGGCTGCTTGAGTATACCGCCACATGATCATGCCAGAAAGCGCACACTTGGATAACTGCATCCAGCCAAGGTAAACCACAATCTGTGGATGCATGCATGAGGTGCCCCACTGATCTGAGTACTGAGTTCCAGAACACAGCTCCATCTTTCCACGCAACTGTGAACGGGCTCTTGGCGTCGAGAACCCCCGGTGACTTGACGAGCCCGCGGTAGTACTTAGTGAACTTCTTCTGACAGCACAGCGCCTTTATCTCTTTCAGGCGTTGCATTGCCCATGGGAGTGCTCTCTGTGGGTCCAGCCTACTGCGTGACCTGGTAATGAGTACCTTGCGCACTGGCATATATGTCCACGTGATAGAACCTCCAGGGAGGCCTATACCATCATAACCTGTTACATGCAGCACCTCATTCCACGCCATGTCATTCCACATATCATACGCCTTGTTCAGCACCTCGGCCCCTGCCTCCAGGTTGACGCCCTGAAGGGCAGTCTGATCCGCGGCGCCACCAACTTTGCCAACAAACTCGTCTGAGAGTCGATTTGGCTCTGACATGTCAGGGTCAGGAAGGAGAGGACCTATCACACGAGTCCCAGGTGGGGTTTGGCACTTCTTGGCAATCCGGACCTTCTGATCACCTGACTTTGCCTTGAAAGTAAGTTTGACTGGTCGGTGAGGGCCCGCTGGAAGATCAACCATGACTTTAACCTTTTCTGCCATCGTATCAAGTGTTCTACTGATCAGGTAGTAGTCAATCGTGGTGCGATGGTCGTCGAGCACATATGATGGGGCCAGCTCATCGCCACGCACGACGCCGCCGAGCATGTGCAACGGCACAGGATCACTTATCGCATGAGGTGGGTTGTTCCAGCCACCTCCGATACAGAACGGTACCCGATGTGCAAGAGCTGCTTTGCCAAGCCCACGCGACAGCTTCAGGTTCCGCGGAGTGAGGCCTTCACCGACATACATGTAGATAGTACCAACCATGAATACACCCAACTCAGTTGATCTGACATACCATCGGGCAGCACGTCCTGGCTGTACGCGTCCATCGCCTGGGGCCCAGCATGACAGATGCGCTCGCACCAGTGCGCATACCCCACGCGACGCCCTTCCGTTCTGTGGCAAGGGCGGGGCCTCCATACGTAATCCATCCCATACCAGCCATCTTCTTAACCATTGCCGTATAGCGCGATGGCAGGAGACGGCGTTCTTGAACGCAAATACTAGACGATGATAGCCGAGGCAACACATATTCCACTGAGCCCCAAGAAGAACCATTTATCGTGATAGTAGAGAAACTCTGGGTGACTGTGGCCATTCGCTTTCCAGTGCCCCCACCAGAAAATGTTTCAGTCCTCGGTGGCGCACGTCCTGGCATGCGCGGTCCCTGCCCTTCAGCACGGCCGCCTGTATCACTAGCATGATGTCCGTCACCCTCTCGGCGGTGATGCACCTGCGCCCTTGCCGCCCTTATCCTTGCCCTTGCCCTTGTCAAACGGGTGGTTGGGCATGGGGGCGCCTGGGGCCGGCAGGATCTCCGCCGCCCTAGCTCTCGCTGGGGATGCGTTTGTCGTCGGTACTGGAGTTGCTGACGGTCGTCCTGGTGGCCCTCCTTCAGCCGCACGTCCATCAGCACCTTCTGTTGATTTAGCTTCATCTGGATTTTCTTGTTTGCGCTTTTTCTTGAGTCTCTCTCTCTCTCTCTCTTTCTCTCTCTTTCTCTCTCTCTCTCTCTGAGCGTCATGTTATTTCTTGAGTGCCTCTGCTCTGTCTTTGACCGCACCGAACATGGTGTTGGCCTGCTCTGCGAAGATCTGCTTGAGGTCATTGAGGCGTTTCTCTACTTCAGCTGTATCTTCTGGGGAAAGGTCAACGTAATCACTGCGCCCGAAGAGCTCACCTGGGTTAATGTCCAAGAACTCCACTTTGCCTGCCATGATCTCGTCCAGAGACACAGCAGCTGGGGCATGTTCCTTATCATGGTGAGGATGTCCTGATACCCCAGCATTGAGTTCATGTATGGCTTATTTGTATATCTGTTCTTGTTCTTCGAGGTCCTCTGATAACTTTTTGATCTGGCCGACATGGTAAGACAACTGAAGCGCAACCTTGTCATACGCGTCCGTCTGATGGTCGAGCTGTCTTTCCAGGTGTTGCATATGTTTGTACGCCTTGTCCAGCCTCTCCTTGGGGCTGATCGCGACAGGGTACAGTTGAGCACGCAATTTGTCCAGTTTGTCTTGGCACCTACCAGCCTCATCCAACTGTCCTGCCTTCTTATAGATTGCCACCAGCTGCACCAAGTCGTCCTCGCCCAGTTCTGTGCGGCCATCAGATTTAAAGGGGGAGTTGCTCTGAGACGAGCCGAACAAGGTGTCCACTGTGTTTCCTCCATACCATCTGGAGGCCTGAGGTTTTTTAATTGGAGTACCTGGGGACCACGAGCCAACATCCTGCCACGGGGAGTAGCAATGCTTGCACCACGCCCAGTGTTGTAAGTTTCGCCCACACCCGCATTTAGAGCATTTCCAAGCGCGAGCAGGCTTTGCAGGAGAAGGAACCATGATCCAACCGTAAATGTGAACAAAAGAGCCGTCGTAACGAATGTGGCCAGCGCGGGGAAACCCCAATACTGTACCAGGAATCTGTGGGGGCCGCGGAATCCCCCTTGCCAAACGCTTTCGTCCTCTGAGCCACCGCTACGGACTTGAGCCAAAATGGCTACGGAGCCCCCCCTCCGCCTCTGCCTCCGCCTTTGCCTCCTCCGCCAGGGCCCGTCTTTCACCCCGAATCGGTTTTGTGAGTCTGTGGACCCAGCGAGGACACCCCAGAAGCCAGAAGTGGCCACAAACCACAAACTTGCCGTCGTGAGTCTTACCACAAAGACACAAGGTGAGGGCCTCCTCCTCCCCCTCCTCCCGCAGGCCCCTCCTCTGAGATCCGACATGATGAAACATCACCACCCGAGCCCCACAGTCGGCCTTGATTGGACAGGACACGCGAGAGGACACAAGACCCTTCCGAGGGCCACATCGCCATAGGAATGTAAGAAGGCACGGGTCGCGAGGCACAGGACACAAGGGTACTCCAGATTTCGTAACAAAGGGAGGGGGGCCTCATTTCGGGGGGGGTCTCTTCCAGGCTATCTTGGAGGGCCTGGGGGGGTCTGGGGACGATGTTTTGGAGGGTTCTCCCACGGGGGAGGTCTGAAATGGCTTGTCTTGGAGGGTCCAGACCCCCTCCCTTTTATTACGAAATCTGGGGTACCCTTGCGCGATTGCAAGGTCGACCTGCTACCCCGGGCCGACTGTGGACCCCAACCTCCCTGCTGCAGTCTCGGGCCGGCTCGATCCGTGAGGGCCCGGGGCGCCCGGAGCCTCGGGCGAAAACGCTGGGGGCGAATCAAGTGCAACGCCCGGATCTCAGGGCGACGCAGGCCCTGTGGCCCGCCGACGCCATCGACCCCCCTCCTCCTCCTCCTCCTCCTCCGCCTCCCTCCTCCTCCTTCTCCTCCTCCTCCCCTCCTCCTCCTCCTCCTCCCCCTCCTCTCCTCCTCTTCCTCCTCCTCCCCCTCCCCCTCCTCCTCCTCCTCCTCCTCCTCCTCCTCCTCCTCCTCCTCCTCCTCCTCCTCCTCCTCCTCCTCCTCATCCCCCCTCCACCGTCGCGCGGCGCAGCCCCCAGGGGGGCGGGGGCGCTCCCTCGCTGGGCTTGGGCGACAGGGCCTGGGCGCCAGGACTGGTAGGGGGGGGTGCTGCGGCCGTGCGGGGAGGGGGAGGCGGGGGGGAGGGACCCAGGGTCTCAGGCCCCCTCGGCTCATGACAGATTCAGCACACTTGCCTTCATCAGTTCATTCACCATAACATCTGAGTCACCACTTCATTCTTCACGACGCTTACGCACCTCCGTCTCACAAAAAAAACCAGCTCTTCCAAATGCCTCTCATCGTTTCAGTTCTCTCTCACTCTGCAACCTCGTCGCAGCCGAACTGTTTGTGGAATTACAACCAGATGTCTGTAGTGCATATGTAAACGTGTGATGACCCCTGCGACGGCCTTACTCAAGACTCCCTCTAGTGACGGCCTTCTAGAAAGATGAAGTGTAAAGTTGCCTAACATAGGATTCTTCTGTGCAGACCCCCCCAACACTTGAAACCCTTGTGTAGCAAACTTTACAAAACGAACCCACGCGTGGTTATCTTACAAGGAGGTGTTCAGTGTGGGGAGCGTTGGGGATCTACAGTGGCCTCCGCAAGAGTATAGCGGCCTGTGCAAAATGAGTCCCCGTGTGGCGGTCTTACTCAAGGGATTGCAGCGGCGGCGACGGATCTGTAGCGGCGGCGCTTTTGAGCCGAAGACTTTTAGAGAGTAAACAAGACAAACATGAAAAGGGATTAAATGCATGTGTTCACAAACATGAAAAGCCAGAGCTGGGAAAACCTGTGACGATCGCTATTTGTAGGGCGCAAATACCCACACGCGAATCATTGTGCGGCAGCCCCGCAACATATTCCTGTCATGGGGGTCGTCCACACGGATTGCAACTGTTGTGCCTCTGCAGTGGCCGCCAAACTGAAATCCTTGCGTAGCAGCCTTTACAAGAGGATTCCTTTGGTGCGATCGTAGGAAAACTTTGTGGGGGATCTCCAACGGCCCCCGACATTGAAATCCTTGCGTTGCAGCTTGTACAACGGGATAAGTTCGTGGCGGTCTTTCAAAACGCACTCCCTCTGCATAGGCTGTCACAAAAAGAAATGGTATGTGGAGGCAACGGCAGATCCGCTGAAATGTCAAGCCTTTTGCAGGATGGCCAACAGAGGGACCTTGTTGCGAAGGTTGCTGCGACAAGATGTCCCACGCTAAGATCATGTTGGGAGATCGTCCCCCTAAACATCAGTGCTGCAAGGGCTGCTACAACATGATGTCAAGTATGGGGGACCTGCATCATAAAAACAGCGGGGGTCACAGGTGTGTTCAGATTCGTCCGATCTCCCCATGCAAAAGAAAACACTTGTTTTGTTTGTTGGTTGGCATGGTTGTTTTACGTGATCCTGGTGAGATTCCGCGGCCCCACGGAGATCTAAGTGGCGCCTCCGTGGGGCCGAGGAGCCTTACCAGGAGAACAAGACATTACGACAACGAATAAAGAGAAAAAAACAGGATTCACAACGCAAAATACGGTTGCAGAGGCTGCTGCACTAGAATTTCACTGTTGGCGGCCACTGCAGAGGCACCAACATTAGCATCCTTGTGGAAGATCGCCAACAAAAGAATGTGCTGCAAGGGTTGTGCTACGTAAGGATTTCAAGTGTGGAGGATCTGCACAATCAAACTAGCGAAAGTCACTGTTTGCCTGAGTGTTTCTCAAGGTCCCATGTAAAACCACAAGGTATTTCATGATTGTCATGTGTGTGTTCCTGCTATCCTGGTGAGCTTCTGCAGCCCAACTGCGCTACCCCCCGAAATCCCGTACAATCGAAATCACTTTGTAAATGGAGTGCAAACTTATGTCAAGTGGGTGGCTACATATTGAATTTAGGTTGGGACTTTTCAAATTGAGCTAGACTGGAAGATCTCAGTGGCGGCGCCGTGGAAGTCATACAACTGAAATGTGTGATCCACCTGCCTGTATAGAAATCAACGCGTAAGTCTCCTCAGCGTTACACACGTTGTGAACATCTGCAACAGACCGCACATGTGTGCAAGAAAGCCAAGAAACAGCTGTTCGTAATCACTCAAACGGCGGGTCCTACGGGGAGAAGGTCGCAGGGATGGACGGCGCCACAGAAAGTTCGGGGGAGTGGACAGCAGCAGAAGCAGAGAGGAACCAGCCCGAGTGAGGCCCCTCCTGGGACCCCAGCTCTTTTAGTCCCAATCCTGGCGGCTAAGCAAGGCCGCCATTCTCTGCTCCTGTGCGGGAGCCCAGCTGGGAGTCCCGAGATCCTTTGGGAACGGAGATAGCGCGAGGGGGAGGGGGATGAAGGCGGGGGAAGGGCGAAGTGGAGAGGTCAGGAGTGGGAGGGGGGGGAGGGACTGAGGATGGGGGCGGCGCATCAGACACTAGGCGGTGCGAGGATGAAAACGGCAAGGCGTACGTATGCGTCTCCAACGGCCGAACGCCGCAGCTGGCCAACCGCCGCCGCCGCCGACGGGAAGTCCAGATTTGAGGATTTGTACTAACGATTTCCGGGGTTCTTTGTGCTTTTGGGGGGAGGGAGCGCTCTCATTCCTCCCCGACTTCCACCTCCCCCGGGGAGGGAAGAGGGGAAGGGAAGGGGGGGAAGAGCTGGCCTGAGCAGTTAAGTCTCTCCAGGGAAGCAGGGGCCGCTGCTACAACACTGATGTCCTGAAAAAGGAGCGTCCATCTGCGAACTGTCCTTTCCCTTGTCCCTCCGCCATGCATGTGCCTCCCCGCGCGCGCGCACGCCCCGAGCTGCTCAGGAACGAAAGAGAAGCAGACGGACCCAGGAGCAGGAGCAACATGGGGAGGGAGGGGCGGAAAAGGGGAGGGAGGGCCAAGGAGGACACCCTCCTCCCCCGCCGGCGCCCTCCCCCTCGCCACCGCCTCCGCCAGCGCCACACCCCCACGTGCGCAGCCGCCGCCACGGCCGCGGCCGCCACCGGGGAAACCAAGAGGTACCCATACCGCGAACTCCCTGGACCTCCCCCGGAGTGCGTTCTGACCAGAGTTCGAGGCGAATCCGGCCGCGGCGACGAAGGCCTTCCCAGGAGGCCCGAGAAAGCGCACACGGGGCAAGGGGTGGCGGTATCGGCACCTGTCCCTCCTCTGAACCACCGCCGGTGTCGTCAGCGCCCCCGCCGCCCGCGGCGGAGCCGCCGCCGCCCGAAGGAAGAAACAAAAGCATATAAGCATAAACTATTGGCGGTCCGCGCGGATTTCTTGGACCGGTGGCGCTGGACCCCCTCCCCGACGCGGATCGCGCCAGGGGTCCCAAAGTCCATGCTCATGCATCGAGGGCCATCGCCAAACCCGCCAGGACCGGCGCAAGGAAGAGAACACCTCGCATGGCGTCAACCAAGGCAGTAACCTTTTGGCACCCTCATGAGCCCGACCGAGGCGCCGAGATGCCGCCGCCGCCGAAGTGTGTGTGTGTGTGAGTGTGTGAGTGTGTGAGTGTGTGAGTGTGTGAGTGTGTGAGTGTGTGTGTGTGTGTGTGTGTGTGTGTGTGTGTGTGTGTGTGTGTGTGTGTGTGTGTGTGTGTGTGTGTGTGTGTGTGTGTGTGTGTGTGTGTGTGTGTGTGTGTGTGTGTGTGTGTGTGTGTGTGTGTGTGTGTGTGTGTGTGTGGTGTGTGTGTGTGTGTGTGTGTGTGTGTGTGTGTGTGTGTGTGTGTGTGTGTGTGTGTGTGTGTGTGTGTGTGGTGTGTGTGTGTGTGTGTGGTGTGTGCGTGTGTGCGTGTGCGTGTGCGTGTGCGTGTGCGTGTGTGTGTGTGTGTGCGTGTGTGCGTGTGCGTGTGCGTGTGCGTGTGCGTGTGCGTGTGCGTGTGCGTGTGCGTGTGCGTGTGCGTGTGCGTGTGCGTGTGCGTGTGCGCGTGCGCGTGCCGTGTGCGTGTGCGTGTGCGTGCGCGTGCGCGTGCGCGTGCGCGTGCGTGTGCGTGCGTGCGTGTGCGTGTGCGTGTGCGTGTGCGTGTGCGTGTGCGTGTGCGTGTGTGCGTGTGCGTGTGCGTGTGCGTGTGCGTGTGCGTGTGCGTGTGCGTGTGCGTGTGCGTGTGCGTGTGCGTGTGCGTGTGCGTGTGCGTGTGCGTGTGCGTGCGCGTGCGCGTGCGTGTGCGTGTGCGTGTGCGTGTGCGTGTGCGTGTGCGTGTGCGTGTGCGTGTGCGTGCGTGCGTGTGTGGTGTGTGTGTGCGTGTGTGCGCGTGTGTGTGTGTTACTGTGTGTGTGCCTGTGTGTGTTGTGTGCTGTTTGTGATGCGTGCGTGTGTGTGTGTGTGCTGCGTGTCTGTGTGTGTGTCTGTGTGTCTGTGTGTTGTGCGTGGTGTGTGTGTGTGGTGTCTGTGTGTTGTGAGTGTGTGTGTGTGTGTCTGTGTTGTGTGTGTGTCTGTGTGTGTGTGCGTCTGTCTGTGTGTGTGCGTGTGTGTGGGTGTGTGGATGTGTGTGTGGGTGTGGTGGAGGATACGCCGATGGGTGTGCGGCAGGCGGCTGCCCTGATGCGCACGCCGTCCGTCTCGGAGGCCGAGTCCCTGCTGCGGGCGCGCGGCCAGGACGGGGCGCGCGCGGCCAGCAGGCTGGGCAAACTCACAAAGGCCTGGAACGCCGTGTGTCATCCGACGTGGGGCTGCTGCACGACACCCAGATGCTCTTCGGCGACGGTTGCAAGGACGCGCAGGACGTCGTGGTGTGCAAGCTGCCGGAGGGGCCCCCGCACGCGCCCTCAGCGAGGCGCTGCGGGGGGGGGCCACAAGGACATCGTGGATTTGAAGGATGAGGGTTGCTTCGACGACATGGGTGCCGGGCTCGCTGCCGAGCTGGCAGCCGAGCGGGTTGCCCGTGCAGCGGCGGCCACCGAGATGGAGCAGCTGAAGCAGCAGATCACGGTGATCAACGCCAAGTTGGACAGCGGCGAGGTTGAGAAGATAGGGGGCCATATGCGACCCCTACCCCCCCCCCGAGCGAAGTGAACCCCACCCTCCCCCTCAGAAGTCGTGGGGGGTAGGGGTAGGGTTCGCATGTGGCCCCCTAGAAGAGGCGCCTCGGCGTGGCACTCGAGGAGGCCGAGCGACGGCTGGAGGCGGAGACCCAGCGCGGGGTCGAGGCGCAGCACGCGCTGCATATCTTGGTGGTCTCGGCGGCAGAGTGCAAGGCGGAGGCCGAGCGTACGCTCATGGAGCAGGAGCGCCAGCTCAAGGAGGACGCCGCTTTCAAGCTGCGGGAGCACGAGGACACCCTCGCGGCGACGAAGGCGGAACTGGCGGAGGCAAACGAAGCGCTCGACGCGCTCTACCTTGCAGCAAGGCCGCAACGACAGCAGAGGCGGCGAATCTGCTTTCGTTCGAGGTCTCGACCCTCGAGGCGCAGCCATTCGACGACTGTGCGTGGGCCGAGGTTGTGGCCCCTCCGCCGGCATGCCGGGAGCAGCGCGGGCCCCAGCTAGCGGCCGAGCGCGCGCGCGCGCTTCACCCTCCTCTCCCTCCCCTCTCCTCCCTCCCCGCGCCTTCCCCGTCGTGTCGTCCCTTCGTCCGTCGCTTCTCTGTCCTCTGCCTGTGTTTGAGAGTGAGATTGGCAAAAACAGTGTGGCATGTGTGTGGCAAAAAACACTGGGCTCCTCGCGTTGGCAAAAACAGTGTGTGCATGTGTTTGAGAGTGAGATTGTGTGGAGCGTGTGCGCGTGGGCGTGCGTGCGAGAGCGCGTGCGCGTGCGCGTGCGCGTTTGAGTGTGCGTGCGCGTGCATGCGTGCGTGTGTGTGTGTGCGTGTGCGTGTGTGTGTGTGGGTGTGTGTGTGTGCGTGTGTGTGCGTGTGTGTGTGTGTGTGCGTGTGTGCGTGTGTGCGTGTGTGCGTGTGCGTGAGTGCGTTTGTGCGCGTTTGTGTGTGCGTGTGTTTGTGCGTGGGGCCGCCGAGGCCGCGGCGAAGAGCAGGAGCCCAGCCATCTCGCAGGCGCCGCGGGCGTGGCGGCCGCAGCGCGCGGCGCAGCCGGAGGCCACCTCAACGACGGCCTGGCGCGCGCTCACGGACGGAGGCGCTCCAGCCCGCCGCCCCCCGCAGCTGTTGTTGCTGCTGCTCCCAGGCAGGGAGAATGCTCGCCCTCTCCTCCGTCCCTCGCCGCTCTCCCTCCACCCTCTCGGGCCTTCTCCTTCGCATCCTCCTCCTCGGCGCTCGGTGCTGATAGCATCGAGGTCATAAGTGGCGTTGCGTCCCCGCCCCCAGAGGGCGGTCGCCCATGCGGGGGAGGGTGATCAATCTAAGAGGGTTGATCAAGTCGATCCACCCCCTTGTGCCTGCTCCATATTATCCTCATCTGCCATCTCCACCTTGCCGCGCCTCCTCGCTCGTCCTCATCGCTACTCCTCACTCCTCCCACTCCTCCTTTTCGTCCTCCTCCCAGCCCTCGTCGCCCATCCTCCCCTTCCTCCTCCTCATCCTCCTCCTCCCGCTCCCCCTCCCACCCCCTCCCTTTCCCCCTCCTCTTCCTCCTCCTCCTCCTTCTCCTCCTCCACCTCCTCCTCCTCCTCCTCCTCTCCTCCTCCTCCTCCTCCTCCAGCTCCTCCTCCTCCTCTTCCTCCTCCTCCTCCTCCTCTTGGTCCTCCCCCTCTACAATCGCCGTCCTGTATACATCTCCCTTCTCGTGCAGCTCTCTCGTGCAGTTCTTTCGTGCCGTCCAGCAAACGCCCTAAAGCTGCAATGAGGCATGTCGAACACGGAGGTAGCTGCTACCTCCGTGTTCGATCTGCCTCGTCGCAGCCTCGGTGGGCCCTTACTCGCTCCCCTCCTTCTCCTACTTCCCTCCCCTCCCGCTTCCCTCACCCCCTGCAGCACCAATTCCTTCTTCACTTCCTCCGTCTTTAACCGGAGAGACCAACGCAACAATATTGTCTCTTGGGGATTATGAAATGGCGTCCTACGAATCACATGCGTGCCTTGTTGAAGCCTTTCTTGCTGTTCACCACTGTACGGGATTCTAAATCAGTGAGCCTTTTTCGAGCCTTATTGGAATTCCCCTCTGTTCAAGAGTCTAGCAGCACCTAGCTCTATAACTCTATACTGGCAATGAGCATGATCCGCCTCCTCCTCCTCCTCCTCCTCCTCCTCCTCGCTCGCTCGATCATTCGCTCGCTCGCTCGCTCGCTGATGGCATCGACCTTCTCCTCCTCGCTCCTCCTCGGCCCCCTCCGCCGGCGACGTCGAGCACGAACGGCGGCGACGGCAGCCGATGACGCCCCCCTGGCCAGCGCGGTGGGCGGGCGGAGCCTCCAGCACACCGGGCTCGCCGAGGAAGGGGTCGTCCTCCGGCGGCCGCGGCCGCGGCGAAGAGAGAGCGGGTCGTCGTCGAACGAGGCCCTCGGGCCCTCGCCTCTTATCGCTGGGAAGCCTCACGATCCGGAAGGCTTTTGTGGCCCATCTCGGCCTCCAGGGGCACTCGCTTGAGGGCCCCAGGACCCTCAGGAGGCCAGATTTCTGGGGCTCGGCGCTGCGGCAGAAACGCACAACGTCGATGATCTGCAAGCGGAACCGTGCTCCAAAAAGGGGTAGGGGCGGTTAGAGGGGGGGGGAGGGCCAGGCAGACTCCTGGGCGGGAGACGCATCCGCATCCCCAGCCCCGCGGGCCGGGTCCCCGGGGCGCGGCCCCCGTGGGCACGGAGCGTTGCGTCGTGGCTGCCCCGCGCGCATCAGCGGGATCGCGCCCGGGAATCCAGCCCGCGAGGGCGTCGATGGGACTACTATCGCTGCTCGTGGGAGGAGGGGGGAGGGGCGGCGGGTGTAACCAGGAGGGAGGAGGCGACATCCTCCCTCCGGCCCGAATGCGGAAAGCTCGGCTCGCCTTCCCGTCTGCCACGGTCGGCTTGTATGTGCATGCCTCCATGTGCTGTCGTACTACGGCCCTGCCGCATATCTATGGGTAAACTTCTCTTATGGAAGGTACGGTGCTACAGCCCGGGCAGCATAACACACAAGGGAAGGGGGAGGGGAAGGAGGATATGGGGGGGGCAAGCTAGGTGTGCTCGCGCGATGTGTGACACCATACCTTTCCCGCGCACCCCCGCCCACTGCGCCAACTTATCGTTGATCTGCCAGCCAGGGTGTCGCACACGACCATGCATCCTGTTATGCGCCATCCGGACCGGGGGCGTTGCACATCCGATGAGGAGGAAGAGGACCAGGACAATCAGAAACCCAGTGAGCGTCAACGAGAACTCGATACAACCTTTCGTCCCAAGTCCCCTCCCCTGAAATCCCTACACGTCTTCCTGTCCACTGCAGGAAGCGTCCCCTTCAATGGCGAGCGCCAGCTTGGCCTGCCCCTCACGCGAGTCCCAGTGTTGACGCAGATCCACCCTCCATCCTCCTAGCTTCTAGCGGACGACAAGAACAAAGAGGTATGAGAGATAAGTATGAGGGAAATGTCCGACGATAGCATCGTTGGAACAGGATCGACCCTACGTCGGTGTAAGCGCTGTCAGTTCTCAAACAGTTATGGCCTAAACCTGGCAGAGGCCTCAAGCAAGATAACAATCTTGAAAAAAGGAGCCAGACTCTATATGTGAAACTGTTTTACATAGTAAACATTCGAAACCACACCATTTCAAGAAAACTCCACCTTGAACCGCAATTTCAAAACAGACGGGTCGTCACGCGTGAAACTGTTGGAATGTGTACCATCTTGAATATTACAAAGCGAGCGACCGCGACAGTCAGACAGGATCCGCATCGTAAAAACGAGCAAGCACTCCACCTTTGTAACTGCTGAAGGGGCTCTGGCAGAATGTGCGCGGAACTGAGGTGTGAGTCGCACTTGATAACAAAAAACACCGCTAATACATCGCAGAACAGCTAGCAGCTTGAAAAGAGCGCGCGGGGCGTTTAGACGAGATCAACGTGTTGGAACCGAACCAGCCCTCCGTTATATTCTTGTAGATGCTGAATACGCGTCAAAATCATGCGTGCGTAACTGAACGAGAACCGCATTTGCAAAACCACCGGTAACCACTCCATCAAAACCTTGGAAACGTATGCCAAGCGTACGCGCGGTGTTTCAGCGAGATCGGCTTTTTGGAAACGAACAGACCCTCCATTCCTGCGACGTTTGCAAACGTGTTGAAAGAATGCGCGCGGAAATGAGGCGAGAGCCGCATTTGAAAACACCGCCAGGCATCCATCCTTGCGACTGCTGGCTTGTTTGCGGGCTGGAAGAATGTAACCTGTGAGAGAGTACCGTGCAAAACGCCCAGCCCGGCCCGATAAGGAAGCGAGACGGGGGCGGCGGATAAGAAGAAGGATGAGCCGCGGGGCGAGCAGGAGGTTGAGGACAGACGAGGGGCAGCAAGCAAAAGGATCAGGGGGAGGCGGAGGAGGGAAAAGGACGAGGGCGGCAACGAAGAGCAACACATAAAGCTACGAACAGAAACGGCTCTTGCGCGACAGTGCATACGGACATCACGCCGTGGCTTACGCGGGCCGCCGACTGGGCACCCCGCATGGAAGAGGGGACATGCACGCTCAGCTTCACGCGAGGAATTTACGCGCGAGAAATCGCGCAGTCGATCGACTTCGTTTCCTTGTGTCGCTCAATGGGGATCCATGAGTACGGCCCGCGACGTTACGCGATAGGGCGAAAGCACATCTCTTAACGACAGGAGACAAAAACCGATAACGGCCCGAACAACATACAAAACATATAGAAACAACAAAGCGCTTGCAGTCCTGAGTATAACGTATCCGGGAAGGATACATCCGCGCACAAAAAGGCACCAGAGGAGAAGAGGGCAGCAACACTCTCAACCTGACGTGGTAGCGGGGGGGTGCCCTGTGGAAAGCGGAGGAAGAGGACAGGCAAGACACCCAAACCCCCGACGTCATGTTTTTGTCACAGCGTCGACCACCAAAGAATTCAACCCATTCCTATGCTGGTGTTCATCCTGAATCGATGTTTGAACGTCCCGATGCTCAGTAAGGGCCCGCGGAAACCGAAAATACTATAAACAGCCCTTCGCGATTGTTTCACAACGCGAGAGCGTATGGGGAAGGAGGTTTTTACCTAACAGCGAAGACTGATAAGTTTCTAGTGGTGTCAAAAGAGAGCATCTTGACTCCCCAGGGGGGTCTGGGCGAGATCAAGACGGGATCCGGGGGAATCCGGAGACTCCTTTTTTAGCAAACAGTAACGCACTTCGTGGTCTTCGAAATCCCAGAACTCCATTCCTGGGCATGATTTTGAATGCCCGGAGCCAACTGTAGGCAACTTCGTGTTCTTCGAGTTCCCAGAACTCCATTCCTTGGCATGATTTTGAAAGCCCGGAGCCAACTGTAGGCCACTTCGTGGTCTTCGAGTTCCCAGAACTCCATTCCTGGGCATGATTTTGAATGCCCGCAGCCAACTGTAGGCCACTTCGTGGTCTTCGAGTTCCCAGAACTCCATTCCTGGGCATGATTTTGAATGCCCGGAGCCAACTGTAGGCCACTTCGTGTTCTTCGAGTTCCCAGAACTCCATTCCCGGGCCACATTGTGAATGCTGAGGCAGGCTGATGCTGAGGCTGAGGCAGGCTGAGGCTGAGGCCGAGGCTGAAGGCAGACTGAGGCTGAGGCTGAAGCAGGCTGAGGCTGAGGCTGAGGCAGGCTGAGGCTGAGGCTGAGGCTGAGGCAGGCTGATGCTGAGGCAGGCTGAGGCTGAGGCTGAGGCTGAGGCTGAGGCCTGAGGCTGAGGCTGAGGCTGAGGCTGAGGCTGAAGCAGGCTGAGGCTGAGGCAGGCTGAGGCTGAGGCTGAGGCTGAGGCTGAGGCTGAGGCTGAGGCTGAGGCTGAGGCTGAGGCTGAGGCTGAGGCTGAGGCTGAGGCTGAGGCTGAGGCTGATGCTGAGGCAGGCTGAGGCTGAGGCTGAGGCTGATGCAGGCTGAGGCTGAGGCAGAGGCTGAGGCCGAGGCTGAGGCAGACTGAGGCTGAGGCTGAAGCAGGCTGAGGCTGAGGCTGAGGCAGGCTGAGGCTGAGGCTGAGGCAGGCTGATGCTGAGGCAGGCTGAGGCTGAGGCTGAGGCTGATGCAGGCTGAGGCTGAGGCAGGCTGAGGCTGAGGCCGAGGCTGAAGGCAGACTGAGGCTGAGGCTGAAGCAGGCTGAGGCTGAGGCTGAGGCAGGCTGAGGCTGAGGCTGAGGCAGGCTGATGCTGAGGCAGGCTGAGGCTGAGGCTGTGACTGCGACTGCCGTTGCCACTGCGACTGTCATCGCGAATGCGACTACGACTGCGAGAACAGCAGAGTTCTACAACTGGATTCTCATCTGAATCGTAAGGGGAATGCTTCCAGATATGCTCCTACACACATCGCTGTTAGGTTGCTTTGCCGCGATACTCTGAGCAGGGGGAGGGCAAGCTGGTGTGAGAGAGTGAGCGGGGGATGGCGAGCCCGGCGGGGGGGAGGGGGCCACGGCGCAAGAAGTCTGCCTCGGCGGGTGCCCCCCCCACCCAACGGCTGCGCCCTCCCCTCTTCCCCACGGCAGCCCTCACGACACCCGCCCTCCACGGGCACGTAAAGATGCGGGCGAGGTTCGTATCCAAATCTGCTGCGTCCTGGATTTCCCCGGACGGAGGGCCACAGGGCCGAGGCGCTCTGAATGGGAATCGTGAAAGTCCGGCCTCCGGGAGCCAGATTCGCATCCGTAGCCAGTGCGCCTCGGAGTCCTGGGGAGGGAGTCCAATTAATACGGACACGCGTTTTGCCCGCAAAAAAGATCCGGCGCGCGAGGGGCGCGGGCCTCCACGCCAGGCCCCGCCGACGCGGGCCCCGCACGCGCGGGCCACAAAGGCACCCCACGATTTCGCCCTCCTCGAAATTGCCGTGGGCGAGCGCGGAGAGCACGCGGTCGTCGTGAAACAGGTGGTCGCTGGACGGAGGTGGAGGGAAAACGAGGAAGAGGAGGAAGAAAAGGGGAGGGTTGGTGCATAGACGAGCTTCCAGTATTGTTTTTTTTTGGGGGGGGGAATTCGCGCCACTGCACGAGGCCATCGCTTGCCAGCGTGGCCGAGGCCCACCGCTGGCGTTACCAGCTGTTTCTCCTTGATATCTCTGGCAACTTTCTTTAACGCCCAAGCAACTCAACGCTTTCGCAATCCAGCTTAGCCACGCCCCAGTCAACCCAGTCAGGTTTGTCGCAGAGCCGTTGCCGCCGTTTGAAACGAACGAAATACCCCGCCCCCTGGGGGGTCCTCAACGCCATTCGCTGTTTCTCTCATGCTGCCATACCTTTGCAAATACTCTAGTTTGCGTATCCCCCCTGGTTCGGGGGGGAAGGCGTCGATGG